CTGAAAAAGAAACCCTTGTTATGTTTTCATGCATTCCTGTGATTCATTGCCTCTATTACACGGTTAACATGCTTCCACACTTACAGAAATGTCTTTTGGGGAAAAAAGCTTGCTTCTATCTCTTGTGTTACATTTCTTACAGAAGTATTTAATTCTAATGACACTTGGTTTATTAAAGTTACAGCACAACTGTAAAAGTTACACATTTATGGAACTTGTTTTTACAAAGGAGTAGAACTGCATTCATAACCAAACCAGCCTATGACTCCTCCAGAACAAAAGAAAAGCAGAAAACTCAAATCCTTCATTGAATTAAAACAAGGAAACCCCTTAGAAAAGCTTAGGTAACATTCTCTATACCAAAACAGCAACAGTTCTGCTTCTGTGTGAAAGTAGTAGAACTACAGTAGGAACTATGCACTCCCCAGAAAGGAACACTCTCCCAATGGCCAACATCACAAGTGGCTTCAAGTATCAGTCTTCAAGTCCTGCTGACAAAATTGTGAAGCTCCAAACTGGGCACAACAGTTCAAGTCTGGAACCAATAATGCCACAGAGAAGGAAATAACTTCCCCTGATCTGTGACATATGGTACAAGACAGAACTGACAGCTACAAGAAATTCCAGATTAGTTGGTGTTTCCAAATCAAAGGCAGTGAGTCACTCTTCAAATCCAGTCATAAAATTTGATGACACATAGATTTGTCATATTTTTTACTCAAAAGAGATGAGCTCAACACTGACACTACATTTTTTGCTGAAACCCTTGAGGAAACAGGGAGGGAGGTGCAGAATCTCTCACACAGATACTTTTGTGATCCACCACAGCCTTCCAATGGCAAAAGTTACAGATAGTCAGCTGTGCAACTTGACCCAGAACTAAACAAAGTCTTTCAAAAGAACTGCCCTGACAAAATGATTGAAAAAAAAGCAAATCTAAATTAATTAATTAAATACATAAAATAATCAAAAACTCCAAAATAACTTCTAAAAAAATAAATCAAAAGGCCCCAAAACCAACAAGGGTAAATTATAGAAGGAAATAAGCAGAACAAGAGTAAGGTCTCAACTGCAGGAAAATCACTCACAATCTGAAAACATGTCAGGGAAAAGACCTGTGGGCCCTTTGCAGAAAAAAAACAACAAAACAAAACCCAGCAAAAACCTGTTGCCAACTTTCACTTCCCTCCTACAAATGAAATAATTCTGGAATTCTTCTCCTCAAGTGGATGATTCATAGCAAGGCCAGTTTTGATATAATTATATTGTCGCTCTCAGTGCTAGAAGTAGTCCAAGAATTATATTTAAAACACTTCTTTCCTGGCTATAATTTTGCTCTTTGTCACAGACAAAAGTGCTTTGCAGACCTTCATCACAGCTCGTTTCCAGAAGAACCAGTTTGAGTCCTAAAGGAAACCTCAGCCTTTCCTTATCAGCTTATTTATTCAGCTTCACAGTGGCTTGTATGCATACAAACCTGTGCATCAACCACATACATCAACCTAATAAGTAAGGTGTAGCCTATTAGAAGGTTGCAGAAGTACTGGTAATCACTTTCTTTGTGAGGACATTTCTATAGAAATGAACTACAAGTGAATCTAATACGTGTTGAATTAAATCCTGAAAAACGACAACTTGAAAGAGATATGCACTGTAAGCACAAAGCTCTGCCCTTTAAATTGCTTTAAAAAACACTCAGCATGTCAGGAGAAAGCAATCTGGCTGTAAGGAAAGGCAGACAAACAACATGTATTGGCTTTTATTAAGTAGTTAGGAACTGATCCTCGTTCTCTTCCTCAGAAATGGTGCTTGCACTTAGGGGTATGTGGTGTTGGAGCAGTTAACTAAAAATCAGATATGCAAGACATGCAGAGAAAAATAAAAGAGAAAATGCATGAGATGTGAAGAGAACAGCAGAGGGAATGGGCACTCAAACTATGGCACGAGCTGTAACAAATTCAGAAATAAGGAATATGCTTTTTACACTCTTTTATACCAGAAGTTCTGAGTATAGCAACTAAGAGCTATATTTGAAAATAAGTTTATTTACATTAATATATATTTTTAGACCTCAATGAGTCTACTACTACTACTACCTTCTGAGAACATCAAGTACTCTTCCACATGGATCCTCTAAAACTGAAGTGTACAAAATAGACTCTTTTATGTCTAAAGATAGTCAGCATTCACATTTTCTTATTTCTGATTTTTTTGCGTCTCTGTGACATGAAATCAGAATGAACTGTGGTACAGTCTGTCAACGTGGAAAATATTCAGCATTAATCCAGGAGATCACGTGGCCACTTGAACAGTGACAAGGTGTCAATATACTTCATTAATATGGTTGAATTACAACAGTACAGAGATTGATGACACACAGTATGCAAGACCATGAATACTAATACATAAATCCAATAGAATGTAGCCTAGATAAGATTTGCTAGCTGTCAGGCATCGTTACATAGCATTAATTTTCCTCCCCATTATCAAACCACTGCAGAGATGCACACAGCCACAAAAACACTTGAGAAGTCTGTGTCTATACACACTAGGAGCATTAAGCAGCCTTATGGAAAGAATGCTATGCTAGGGAAAAGTTTGTCTTCTAAACTGGTGGCTCCTCCATCATATACCATGAATGCTCAAGATAGCACCAGCTGATAGACACATTAGCCTAGAGAAACTTTCAAGTTGATTGTTTTGGTACTGTGGTAATAAAGACACCATCATTATAAAATATCAGTATATTCTTTTAGAAGTAATTGTTCAGACTAGCAAATAGTCTTTGTAAAGCATATTTGGTGCCCAACTGCCTCACAAGTTAAAGAAATCAAACCATTGCAACAAAACTAGTTTTAAATTAACTCTTCTTAAGCACAATACTGTTCTACCTACATTTTTTCCCTACTTTGTATTCAAACTGTAGTGTCCCGTGGATTACGTGCAAACTGTTGTTACTAACACGACAAAATCATCTAGGTTGGAAAGACCCTGTGGAGGTCACCCAGTCCAACTCCTGCTCCAATCAGGTCAATATAGACTTGGCAGCTTGGGACTTTGTGCAGTCCAGTTCTGAGCATCTCTGAGGATGTTCTCCACAATCTCTCTCTGAAATCAGGAGCACATTTTTTCCCCCCCTTATCTCTATTTGGCATTCCCCTAATGCCTAATCACCCTTTCTGTGAAGAAATTCTTCCTAATGTCCAACCTAAAACTTCCCCTGGCACAGCTTGAGACTGTGTCCTCTCATCCTGTCACTAGTTGCCTGGGAGAAGAAACTGAATCCCACCTGCTACAACCTCCTGTCAGGGAGTGGTAGAGAGTGATTAGGTCACCCCAGAGCCTCTTCTTCTCCAGGTTAAACACCCCCCCAACCCTCAGCTGCTCCTCTTCTGACCTGTGCTCCAGACCCTTCTACCAGCCTTGTTGCCATTCTTTGGACTTGCTCCACCACCTCAATGTCCTTCCTGAGAGTCCCAGAACTGGACACAGTATTTCATGTCCTAATATTACAAATCTAATGCACAACACTTCAACACCTTAAACCCCCCACCTAAAACAACATAAAAGAAGAGCCAACAACAATCCCTAACCAAAACCACAAAACCAAAAAACTCAGAAAGTGTCTATGATCTGTTAACTCATTGCATTAGAACTTTAACACAAGTGGAATTGAAAAAACTAAATTTCTTGAGAAACTCCCAAGCCTGTTCTTTACACTTAGGCAGCAGTTGCAAACCACCAACAGTTATCCTTTTCCAGTGAATCTATTATTACTATTGGCTTTTCTTTTCCTCCTGATGAGTCCTTGCTCTTTTGTCTACCATTCGTCATGGCCTCAAAATGTTGAATTTTACTGTCATGGAGCCAGGAAAGCAACACTCCACTAAGGGTAGGATGTGTCCTAGCATCAGTAGTTAAAATGAGGCTCAGAAGAAGGTTAGAGCATGCACAGAACTTCTTTCAAAGATACCAAATCATTTAGTGAAAATTCACTAGCTCAAAATGCAACAGTTCTGGTATAACCTGCCAAAACTATAACGGAGTTAATCACAAGCTGAATCATAGAAAGCACAGCTTATATTTTATTGAAGGGCTAGAAAAAAGAAACTAGCAAAGAAACTGGCATGATCAGATTTCAATGAAAACCCTTGTTCAAGTCTGAAGCAAAACCTGTGATTTACCTGGTGAATCAAACTAGCCATTGAGGCTTAGGGCACTGTTTGTTAGAATTGCCAGTAAAAGTCTTTGACCCTTTTACTGCTGAACTTGGGTTCATAAGGACTTAGATGGCACAAGTGAAATTCCCCCAAAACATTACTGTACAAAAGAAAATGATGTCCAGCAAAAATATCCAGGACATGGAGTACACAGCAATTGTCATTGAGTTGCCAACGCTCTTCATGTCGTGTAAATGAAGCATTTGATGTACACACAAGTTGCACATTCAACAAATCAAGAAAAGATATATTGTTTAACCCTAAAATAGAAAATATTAGAGCTACAGCCTTTTATTTACACCGTAGCACTTATGCAGCAGTGTTTAAAATCCTGACTGTATGAAAAACTTAGTTTTATAATACAATTTTGCACACTTTAATCACAAGTTTTCACCCATTTATAGCAAATTACTTGCTAAAACTAGATTAGACTAATAAAATCAAAACTGGTATGTGCTTTACTTCCTTTGTATGCTTCTTTGATTCAAAACTAATTTTTTCTTTAAGAAATTCACATTCTTAAAAAAGAAAATCCAAACAGAAATAGCAATGACTTAGACCTAATTATCTTTTTAATGTTTATTATTGCCATTGAATAGTTGTGGGAACCAGCACAGATTAGAAGTGTATACACTAAGTTAAATTTGAGATATAAGACCTTGCTTTAAAACTTCTACAAAACATAAACCAGAAAGGATCTTACAGAGATTAAATATATAGAAAAGGTTGACAAATCACAAAACTTCTCTGCTGAGAATTTGCTCAATTGTTGGTTCTTACCTTCTGTGCTTAATCCAGGACTTGATGTGAATTTTGCTACATCGACAATCTTTACAGCAAACTGTTGCCCTGTTTCCCTGTTGATACATCGCCGCACAACGCTGAAGGGACCCCTGAAACACACACAGAACACGCCAATAAATGATCAATTATTACAATTCTGTGATTTCTAAACAAAGTCTTGATTCCAACACTCACGTGTGGTATTCCCACAGAAGCTTACACCATTGGCTCACTAAATGTAAAAGTAATAGTTCTAACTATTTGGTGTTCAGAACACCAAATGAGTTTTGTATTTTCTTATATTAAAGATGTATCCTCTCCCCCTGCCACTTTAGAAAGGCTCTGCTTTTATAAATGTTATGCAATATTAATTTTTAAGTGGACTTTATTTTGATGCATAATGCAAATAGCAGTAAAAAAATATAGACAAGAAACTCTCCTGGTTTCAGTTCTAAGCTGATGGGATAATGGACAGCAATAAGAGTAACAGAACTGTTGAGTCATGCTGTGTGGGTTTATTTGTCTGTTTGTTTTACACAAACTAGGTTTATTTTGAGTTTATTTGACATCACTAGGTATAAACAACCTCTCAAATTCCAGAAATGCTTCTAATTTTCTGTCATCTATGGCACTTAGAGAATCCCACAGACGTTACGGATAAAAAGATGTAAGTTTAGTTCAGACAGATCTTGGTATTGCACTCAACTAATAAAAAGCTAGTTATTTTTCAAAATGGAAATTGTATTTGCCAAAACACAAGTTAGAGTGACCTTTTTCAAACCATCAGCACCAATATGTACTTTTGGAAACATCTTTTATTAGACAGTCTAAGTTCTTGATGCCTTGACTTAAAATATCTTTTATCCAATGTTAACAGCAAACAATTCAACCAGATAATTATGGCAGGTCAAGCTTTTGACCATGAAAAGTTAATAGGTTATGAAAACAGCATAGGATTGTTTCAAGACTGTAGCAGTTGTGGCAGATCAGCCTTTTTTACTGCTGCTTATTTAATGACTGATATGTGAGTTTTACAGAAATCCTTTCTAAAGGCGTCTCGAAGAGATGTGAAGGAAAATTTGAAGGCTGGAAAAAGCCTTTGTTCAGAAGTTCATCTCTTGAATGAACATTTGCCTGCTGAGTGAAATAAATGCTTTAATATAGCTTAACAGACAAATTCTTCCATTCGAACAGTGAACTGAAAGTTAGTTGACAGGTTTTTGACCAAAGGGATTGCAAAGCAACACAATTCTAAAAATAAAAGGCACCCTGAAAAGGCAGAAGTGTCCCTGTGAGGGCACTTACCAACATTTAGAACTGGCTGCTGGTGTTCCTTTACATACCAGATGATTCAAAGCATGGAATCCATCACACCACCAAACCTGTACTCCCATAGCTAAAATCCAATTTTTCTACTTTCTCAACGACACACTCGCAAAGATTTCCTGAAGTAGGATCTTTTCTGACACAGAACATGAACACCAAAACTAGTCAATAAATTGCAACCTAAATATTTACAAGTAAGGAAAATATTCATTACCACAACTGTAGACATGTGAGTTATGCTGATGTGCTCAAACAGAACTAAATATACAAGAAACTGAATGTTTTTTCCCCTCTTTCCTTGCTCCTAACATACAATGAAATCCCCTCTTCTGGTGGCTATTTTCTCTTATGAATCCACACCTTGCTATTCTTCAGTTTTTGGTGTTTTACCAACAGTTACCACAGATAATTTTAAAAAGAGGTTCAATTAAGCCTCTAATACATAGAAATCCATTTTCATCATTAATTGAAAAAGGCTCAGCTGACTTCATTTGGCACTGGATGGGTACAGCTATTGGCTGAGAATCCTGCCCCCACATCTCAAAAAGTAATTTCCTATGGAAAAGTCCCACTTTATATAGATCTGTGTGACTTCTTATCCCAAGTTTCTGCTTACTCTTTTAGCATCTGTCAAAGTAAAACTGCTTTAAAATAGTACAAATACACTTAGATTATGGTAATGTAAAAAAATTTCAAATGCTAAACCACAGCTTTGGAATAACATTGACAACACTCACTTTCATTCATAACTGCCATAAATTACTAGAAACTTAATGTATTTCGCTAAAATGATCCTCTTTCTTTTCATTCTCATTGGGTTTTCCCCCCACACAAATCCCTTATGAAGACATTAATGCTTTGAGCAGACAAAGTTGGAGGAATCACAAATCCAAAAGGAGCCTACAAACTGCAGCTCGGAGAGGATGAGACTTGTGTTTACCCCACTCTTTTCTCTTGCAACCATGCCTTGATTTCTCTTTCCATTATCTACTAACATTTTAGAACCCTGACTTGAATGGTTTGTTTCCTGCATATCAAGTCTGGGGCAAAAAAATTTAGCATTTGATTCAGTTCTGTAACAGGGAGGGTAAAAGTGACATGTGTACAGTCTCCACCTTTATGGCCATATTGACACTTCACTATGGCTTTAACAGCCTTCTGTGCTTCCAGTGAAGAATGCCAAAGACTCTTGAGTAAATGGACAGTGCTGTAAATCAGAGTACAACAACTGGGGTTAGAACTAGGTCATCTTCAAGGTCCCTTCCAACCCAAGCCATTCTAGGAGTCTATGAATCCAGTGATGGCCACAACTAACTCATTCTGTTGAAACAAGACACCAATTTAGAGTTTCATATAGAAATAAAAAGGGTTTTAAACACAACCTGAAGATTCAGCTATTTCCAAGCCTCAGATGTCCAACTTTTCCAAAACTCTGTCCCTCTCATAGTCAAGCTACAGCCAGCCTCAAAACAGTATATGTTAGGACAATACATTAGATGAATACAATTCATGACAAAAGCAGCACAACAAAAGCTTCAATCTTCCAATTTTAGGTAATTTTAAAAGCCATGAAGTGCCCTCATCAGTTAAGCAGAAACCATTATTTCCACAGGCCAAGTAACAGAAAGGAACTTTTAAACAAACTGTGGCTGCAGGTAGCTTTTTTACTCTTTCCTCAGCTGCAATGGCACACAGCAAGTTCACAAATGAAGTTGGAATAGCCCACAGTGGTATCATATAACCTGAGTCAGAGGTAAAGGTCTCTTGCTTCCTAGCACAGTAACTTCACACAGTATTTGCATGTTAAGTCACAAAAGTCTTTCAGGCCACCCTCAGTCTCAGCACTGAAACCACACTCTTCCCAACGAGGAAAGGGACTACAATAGTTCATCTCTCAGACAAGACAAGGAGCTGTTCAGCAGCTGTGTCTGCCAGTGGGGAAATGTGGAGCACATCTGCACCAAATGACAATTTCTAAAGCTCATTTTACCAGCCCTGCAGCTCAAATTTTATAGATCTAAACTACAGAGGTGACACAGACTGGGGAAGGAAGGAACAACCAGGACGTGGATCTGTACCTAGGAACCCTAGATAGAGATCATCAAAGCTGTTATAGATAGATAAGACTACTTCTTTATTTATTAAAACAGAGGGACTGAGTTAAGTTGCATAGGACTTGTCTTCTAAGTCATACAAACTGTAATTATCATGTTATGCACTTTACTCTTAATTTCTCTCTGTAGTACCCTGAACAGCCATACCTGCCAAGATACACAAATCTTTGGTTTCAGACCCATCCTCCTGCCCCCACCAAGCCTGTAAAATCTTTCTCTTCAGTCAGCACACACACAACAGGACACTAGCACAAAGTATGAGGATCATTAAAACATGCAAGTAGTAAGGACAGATGATTTTTCACTGATACTTTGTCAACACTGGCAGCAGCACATTCCAACACCCGGAACACGTGGAGTCCCAATTGCAATATACAAAAAGCAAGATGTGTTTTCTGTGACTGAAGTTGGGCTGCATGATGCTTTTTGCTACCTACTGCAGATGGAAATCAAAGTGTTACAGTACAGTACTGACAAGGTTGGGGAATACATGTAACTCATAAAAAGTGGATAAGAATGCTGAAAAGGTGTCTCATAACCAGTTCTTTTTGTGCTTCCAAACTTCCAAGTAAGCAGGGCAGGGCCTGATGTAACCTTAACCCTAGTGAGACTATTTGCTGGTGATTAGCTTTACTGTCTAGGCACAAACTTGAAGAAAATAAATGACTAATTACTCTCTCCTTCAGGAGTACAACACTTGAATTAGATAAAATCCTAACAATTTGAGATCATCAAAGCCTTTTTTATCATCTCATTCACTGTGATTCTATGACACTGAAGTATGATGGCTGTTTGAAACAGAAGCAATAGCTATTGACACAGAACACCTCTTCCAAGAGACTGTTCTCAAAGCTTCCTTTAGTTCCTGTTTATCAACTCATTAAGGGTCATTTGCAAGAGAAGGGTCAAGACCTCAAATGGCTCTACAGATTCCTTTTTTAGCTCATTTCTTCCTTGATAGTCGGTTTCCAGTGATTCCCTACTAATTTGCTTTTGCTTCGAGATTAGACATTGCACACTATTTTCACTTTCCTAAATCAGTACAAGGTCTAAAATGCTCTGCTAGCAGCACTGGTCTTCAAGAAAGTGTCTGATTCTTTGTCCTGTTTCCAGGTGGTTGAAAGAGAAATTTTTAGGCATGCATGCACTAAGCACACACAGGTAAATGATGAGACATTACCCTAACTGAGATATAAATAATTACAAGCATCTCAGGAAATGGTACTTTCTCAATGACAGTTTTTAGAACAGTTTTTTTAACTGCTGGTGAGAAAGAAGAATGAAAATTGATTTGCTAAGCTGAAACACCCTGCCCACTCAGCAGTGAAGAGCTCAAGAAACTGATGACAAATATAACTCTCTCTCCTCTCCCCCCGGCTCACCTTGAGGTAGACAAGAATCTATATCTCATGTACGAAGTGATTTGGGCCAATGAAGACTGGTTAATCAAAGCCCAGATCCTACTTCTTGAACAGGAGAGGGGAGAAATAAGGAAAGCTTTGTCCACTGATAGATTCCCACTGTAAATACTGGAATAAATTCATGGCATCAAAATCCTTAAAATTTTATGTTTATACTCAAGCACTCTGCAACACTTGACAGAATAATACCACACACCAGCAGCTGAATCAAAAGCATCAGCTCACGAGTGTTTGGAAAAACT